GATGATTGAGCAAATCAGATCGTCCTATTACCAACCTTTAGGATCGCAGGATTGGAAAAGTGAGATTGAAATATTTTAGAGACATGAGATTTTTCCAAGGGTCTAGCAGATTTGAAGGCAGTATGAGATATGGAAGTCACATCTAGGGTCTATTTAAAACTCCTTGAACAAAGATTTTACCATATTTTCATTTTATAATGTTTAGGGCTTTACAGTGGAATATTATGGTTGCATTTTGGAGCCAAGGTTATCAAAAAGTACTGCTGATAAGGAGATTATTTGGAGGATTAGGGAATAGATGATCTGTCCACCCCATCCTTCTAATTTACAGAGACTTTAGAGCCCCACCCCTAGTGCCCCACAGCTAGCTGTGCTAAGACCTTTTTGACCTTACAGCACTTCCGTGGGTTCCTGTGATGAGGATATGGCATTGCTATCCCTGCTCCACAACAAGGAGTTACCAAGCCAACTTAGATGTAGTAGGGCACTAAGGACAGTGGTAGAAGCTGACAGGTAGAGCCCTGGAGGGAGGCTTGGGAAAGGGGGTTGTCTGGGTTTGCCTCCCTAGGTTCACTTTGCTTGGGATGCTAGATTTAAAACCAGTGGAAAGAACAGCTGCAGTCTCTGAAGAAAACATGCAAGAAAACTGTCTTCATAGTGTAAGGTTCCCCAAAATCTTCTGAGGGCAAGGTCTGATAGTGGCTGACTGCTTCCATGTCAATGAAGGTACTGCCAAAGTGTGTAGTTTGCTAAGTTTCAGGACAGTGATGGGTGTTCCTGAGGCTACGCTGGGGCCCAGGCCTAGGAGAGGAGGTTCACTGGGCCAATCCTATAAGGAGGTCGTCAGTATAATTGGAAGGATGACCTTAAAATTCTGGCTGCTCCAAACTTTCTTAGGAATCAGGATGCCTGGGTGGCTCAGTGCTTGGGGGTCTGCCTTCAGCTCAGGGCCAGGATGGGATCGAGTCCTACATCGGGCTCCCTGCATGGAGCCTGCTTCACTCTCTGTCTATGCTTCTGCCTCTCTGTGTCTCTCATAAATTAAAAAGAAAAAAAAAATTCCTTAGGAATTTTTGCCATTGGTCCGATCATTATATTATAGCCATCTTATTTTAAAATGCTCATGTTACCTGATTAACAAATTAGCATAATAGCATACTTCATTCATCAGCTTAAAAATCATAGGATTTTTTAGAGCTGGAGGTGAATGTTAGCTAACTACTAGACCAATAATTCTTTTATTTTTTTAGACCAATAATTCTTAATCTTTTCATCACATTGTCCCTCATGTTTTAAAATGTTTGTCTAACAAACATATTACAAAATTCATTTTCCTTTCTTACTAATCAGATAGTAATTAGAATTTCTGATCTACAGAAAATAAAGTATTACTACACAATGTTACTTTTTGCTAACACAAAAGCAAATCAACATAATACTTTAGTGATGGAGTGATGATGTGAAACCCTACCACTTTTGGATGTGTGGTTTCTATTAGTTTTTATTATTGAGAATAGCTATATGTGCTACATCTGAGGACTCGGGCTCGAAGGTTCAAGGAAAACAACTAGGCCAACCCCTTTATCTTCTGTACAAGAACACTGAGGCCCAGGGAAATTAAGCAATAGAGCCAAAACCTGAATACTGGTAAGACACTAAGATAGTCTCATGTTTGGGCTTGTCTGTTAGCATTCCTTAAGCAGAAAACAGAGGCTTGAGGAACTTGCTAGAAAATGTGGCTTAATTGAACACCAATAAAAAAATAAATTTATTAATAAAAAGAAAGAAAAAGAAAGAAAGAAAGAAAGAAAGAGAAAGAAAGAAGAAAAAGAAAGAAAATGTGTCTTTTTCTCATAGGGCAGAGTCTAGTTTTTGTATTTTTATTTCCGCAGGACCTAGCATAGTGTCTTACACGTGATAGGTGCTTATTATATCCTTATTGGGTGAGTGGGTTGCAGGGAATAGGCTGAGAGGTTAGAAGTTTGTTACAGGTTCAGGGAGTAGAGTCCTAGCTGAAATATTGCCTTGGGAGTCTGGGGTAGCTATTGGGCAGACTGAGGAGAATGAGTAGCTGTAGGGAGGGAGCAAGAAGTGAGGGAGCACCCAGCCACAGACGCCATCCTCAGGTTTTACCGGTGCACATGCTTGGCAGTGTAGGAGGGCTCTCCTAGGCCTTGTTTTAGCACCTCTTTGCATTCCACTTTCTGTCTTGAGTCTAAGGGAGGATTTCTCAGTGTTGGACAAGCAAGCCCTATCCTCTCATTCCCAACTAGAAACCTTCAGTGGCTACCTGTTGCCCTTGGGAGAACATCTCAACACAGCTTGCAAAGCCTTCCATGATCAGCCCTCTACCAAATTCTCTAAAATGTTCCCCTTATCTCTTGGCATTCCCTCCTCACATTCCCCATGCTGAGCTACTTGTAGCTCTCCTTTCTTGTCTCTTAGCCTTTATACAAACTGCTTCTACCTGGAACTCCCCTTCCCTCCTCTGATACTCCAAATGGGCTAATTCCTCCATCCTAGGGGAAGCTTTCTCTGATACACTATTCACCCCTCTCCCTGATTGGTGCAGCACCCCCCCTGCTAGGTTCCTACAGCCCAGTAGCATTTATCATACTGGTACAGAAGAAACTGACAACCCAACTTCCAGCCTGAGGCTGCCCACTCCCTTCTATCAGAGAGACACAATAACAAAAGAAGTTAATGTTGCTGTCCTTGGACAATGAAGGAGGAAACCATCTAAAAATAACATGGGCAGGGAAAGCTGCCAGGATCTGGGGCGACTTTTATCCTTTCTCTCTGTTAGAATTGGAATGAAGTGTCCAGTCTCCTACCACACTGTATGGTTTGGGGCATTACATTTTATGTGGGATTGTTAACTTCACTGATACGGAGTTAGTTTATATTCCAAATTCTCCCTGAATAGCTCTTAAACTAGCCATGATTTTTTTTAAAGATTTTATTTATCTATTCACAAGAGACAGAGACCCAGGCAGAGGGAGAAGCAGGCTCCTCACAGGGAGCCCGATGCAGGACTCAATCCTAGGACCCCGAGATCACGACCTGAGCCAAAGGCAGATGCTCAACCACTGAGCCATCCAGGTGCCCCTAGCCATGAACTTTTATATATGCAGCCTTACATGGTTTTTTTTTTTAAGATTTTATTTATTTATTCATGAGAGACACACACAGAGAGAGGCAGAGACAGAAGCAGGCTCCATGCAGGGAGCCCGATATGGGACTTGATCCCAGGTCTCCAGGATCACTCCCTGGGCCAAAGGCAGGCGCTTAACCACTGAGCCATCCAGGCGTCCCTTACATGAGTTTCTTTGTCTCTTCAACAGGCATTGTAGCTCTGTGGTTTTCAATTAATTGTCTTCTTTAAGGTTTAGACCAAGACATTAGTATCTTCTTGCCTGTTCAGCTGACAGTGTATTTCACTTCTTTGTCAGTGATTGGGAAATCTTTAAAATAATTCACATATCCCGCCTCCCATCCCAACCAATTTCTTTTCTTTTAAGATTTTATTTTTAAGTCATCTCTACACCCAACATGGGGCTCAAACTCAAAACCCTAAGATCAGAGCTGCATGCTCCATTGTTTGAGCCAGCCAGGTGCCCTCCCGCAGTTTCTTTCTTTTTTTTTTTTTTCAAGATTTTTTTCATTTTCATGAGAGACAAACACAGAGGAGAGAGAGAGAGAGAGAGAGAGAGAGAGAGGCAGAGACAGAAGCAGGCTCCATGCAAGGATCCCGATGTGGGACTTGATCCCGGACAGGATCATGCTCTGGGCCAAAGGCAGGCGTCAAACTGCTGAGCCACCCAGGGATCCCCTCTCCCGCAGTTTCAAGCTTAGTCATGTCTGTTGTTTGTTTGTGACATTGGGACATTGTACAGTATATGGTTGAATCCTTGTAAATTAACTATGGTACTCCCATGTCAGTGTTTCTTCACTATTGTGTCCGCAGTGGGTGAGCCAGGGTAAGTTTCACAGTGGGGTGATTTTGAAGGCTGGGTAGGGGTCAGTCGGGTGAAAAGGAAGGGGAGAGGCAAAGGCAGAGGCAGAGGCCGACACAGGGAGGCATGAAAGAGCTTATAAGTGAAGGATAGTCAAGTTGCCAGGACAGCAGGGTGTCTGACTGGCTCAGTAGAGCATGCAGCCGTTGATCTCAGGGTTGCAAGTTTTGAGCCCTACACTGGGCGTAGAGATTACTTAAAATCTTAAAAAAAGAAAAAACAACTTTAAAAAAATGTGGGTAGAGTAGAAGCAATTGTGGATAGAGAGGGGCAGGTAGGCTATTAGGGAACCTTCCATGCCACAGTACTCTGTTGGAGATGCAGTTTCTTAATCTATTACAATGAGGATAGTACCTGTCTCTAGTTTGGACCTTATACATAAGCAGGGGTGATATTTAAATATTAAGCCATCAGTACAACCAGGTACAACTCAGTCTGAGGGAAGCAACCAGCTGAGGGAGATCTTTTTATGGGGTTAAATGCTCTCAACTAGAGTGAAGGAAAAGTACTAATGCGGGAAAAGCCAGCTACCCCTGGAAATAATGGTAGGTCCTGATATCCCCTAGGATTTTCTCCACATCTCGTCTCTAAGAGTCCACCTCAGGCCCAAAGAATAGAATTTTACTTGTCTTTGTAGATACATTGTTATGTGGCTGGCCTCAGTGCCACCCCAGAGGAAACTAAACTGGAAAGGAAGGGAGGGAAGATGCTAAGTGATTTATATGAACTCTTTGATCCTCACCCAATTTGGGGAAGTGAGGCATCATTAGATGCATTTTATTACCTGGAAACAGGCTTTGCTTGTTGGCTGATCCCTCAACAGGTGGTGAGAGGCTTTCTAGTCTAGGTCCCTTTTGCTCTGAAGCATGCTCTTTTCTCGGTTACTCTGGAGTTCCAAAATCCTCCTCACCTTCAGGTAAAGCTTCAATATCACTTCCATTTCTCACTCCCCCATCCAGCCACCCAAGCCATGTTCAAAAAAGCAACTTGAAACATATGTTTTTATTTGACAAAAAAAGAAAAGGGGAAAAATGTGACAAGCCATAGCCATCCCCTAACAAACTACAAACTCTTGGAATACAAAATAAAAAGGAAATCCAAGCAGTCTTGATGAGATGAAAATTTGGTTTCACAAAGCTGAAAAATCCGTTACAAAGTCTCTATTGTATAAATATAGTCAGTCTTATCTTTAATGTAGAGTCAGACCAAAAAAAAAAATGTGTTGGTATAAGAAATCGCCCAGTCCTTGAATATACCAAAATGCTCATTTGTCTTCCCAGCCAAATCAGGTGATGCTTACATGAGAATTACTTATGCCTTCCACTCTAGGTAACCAAATGAGATTTAAGTATTTTATCTCCCCCAATAGCCTGTGCAAACCATTATAGTCTTGGTTTAAGAGAGAAAGGCTTTTCCCATATAAAATCTAACATGTGTCTATTCTAAAATTGATTATGGTGATTGCTGCACAATTCTGTGAATATACTAAAATCCATTGAATTGTACATTTTCAATGAGCCAATTGTATGGTATGTGAATTATACCTCAATAGGGCTGTTAAAAATATAAAATATGTCTAAGGAACAGGTGATTCCAATATTATAACTCAGGAGCTCCTGGCAGGACATAGGGAAGATCTGTAGAAGTCGGTACACTAAGGGATAGTAAAAGGGAGATGGTTAAAGCATTATGCCTAAATCAGTGGAGTCTGAGGTCAGTCTGGGGGCACTCAGTTTCAAGAGGTCAGGATAAAGAAGTCAAGAGGGTATATACTTTTTCCTACTGCTTCCAGAGTCATCTAAGGACCTTGTATGGCTCTTGTCACCAAATAAATTTATTCAGTGGGAAAGGAGATGCTTTCTGGGTGTTGCTGAAGCTACAGAAAACTTTACACTAGAGTTCAGGAGCTAGGTATCTGCATCCATTGGGAGAAATTCCAATATCGCTACAGGATCTGAGAACCTGACTCCCACGAGAGGAGGATACCCCCCAAAGCTTCTAGATTTATTGAACCAATGGGACTGCCTGCCTTCAGTAATGCTGCTGATGACCAGAGGTCACAGCAGGGCCCTGTTCTCACTGACCCTTTTCTAAGGCCACTGCCAGGGCAGCCATGCCTCATCAGATCAGCAGATCCTTTGTATGGCAGACAAACCACCCTGAATTGCCATCCCATGCTATACCTATACTGTGGGCACCAGGTGGCCACTCAGAAAAGGAGATAGGCACAGCCAAGGATAACTGGGTCCTTGACCAAGGGATGGGCATGCCAGCGTGACAACATGGGAGGGAGGATCACCAGTAGTAAAAAGAAAATGGGAACTTTAAACTCTTGCACTGATTTTGCCATTGTAGTTACTTAAAGTCCATCAACTATACTGGGTGTAAAAGTGGAGAAAAGAGGCACAGAGGACACTCACTTTACTCACCTTTAAGAAAGGATGCTGCCAGAAATTGGGACTAGAAGTCTTTTTAGTTTTTTTAGCACACAGAAGAAATGGGAACAGGAAACAGAGAAGGTTAGGGGCTTGAAAGCATGACATGTACCAGTTTGCCAAATATCTTGTTCAATTCCTCTAGTCTTTCCTCCATGAAGACTGATCTGGTCCTCTGGCTCAGGTATGGGCTGGGAGTCAATTCCCTTTTTTGGCCAGCCTAGAAAATGTTTATTCTGCAGCTGAGCAGATGGTTAAGCTTAGAAGCAGACATCCTAGCCACCTCGGGTCCTTCCCGTTGTGGGCCGGATCCTCCAGGACGGCCCTGTTAAAACTTTGGCTTCCTTATGTTCTTTCAAAATAAGATCCCCCTGTTCCAATGATAAGGCTCAAATCTCTATGAATGGGGCCCTCAAGGACAGGAAATTTTCCTTACTGGTAAGGTTTGTCATGTCTGTGGGTCAAAGCAAGCAGAGAAGAAAGCTAGAACATCTGTGTTTGGGGCTTACCTGGCTCTCTTTAGTGTCCTAGGGAGATGGTGGGATGTTTAAAAAAAAAAAAAGTGTGTGTTGGGAGAATAGATTCACCAGGGCTTTGGGTATTTTCTTGGTGCACTTTTTCCTTTGGCTCCTGTGAGAATATTTATTGCTTACTGAGAAAAAGGGAGTAAAGTACCTAGTTTAAAAAATAAAACAAATAAAACTTTCCTTCTTGTCTCTCTTTGTGCTTATCGAGCCTTTTCTTCCCCAGGCCTTACTCACCTTGCCCTCAGCCTATGTGCATGAAATTTAATGTGAGCTGGTTATCCAGGAGAGATGAATCCAGGCTACCATGATGGTCCAGAAGGGAACGCCAACACCCTCCTTACCCAGCCTCTTTCCTCAAGAGATCATGAGCTGAAGGGCATATCATCGGACAAACCTCCAGCTGCTTCTGCCCTTAAATAAGGGGACAGAGGAAGTTGTTTCTATATTTAAGAGAGAACTATTTTCATTCCAGAGCTATAAGAGTTATGAGCAGATGAAGCTATGACTCTGGTGGCTGGACCATTTTGGGAAACAAGATGCAAGCAAGGGAGTAATATACAAACAAAGTGTGGGTATATTTGACAGGTTTGAGGCAAGCAGAAAGGAGGGCTTGGGTACTCTATAAAAAAACTAATATCTGAAATTCAAACTTCTTCTGATAAGGCCACAATGAAGAGATTTCCAGCAGGAAGCTGGCACCCAAATTGCCACAGGCTTGCAAGGTGACGTGCCCAGGTGAGGAGGCAGGGGAGGCAGGGCAGTGCCTCTCACAGGTCCATGTCTGGGCCTCCTGAGGATGTCTTCAGTGGCACGGAGTCAAATCCATCAGGAGTCCTCTGAAAGAGAGATGGTGACAGGAGCTGGCTGCTGCACGGGGGCAAGTTTGGGAAACAAAGGAGAGAAATGGAAAATAGGTGACAGAAGGAACCCTTATGGAATTCCTGCTTCCAGTAGCTTTGTGGAAACAGACATAAGATACCCTCTATTCTTCTTGGTCCTTTCAGTCAGTCAGAGGATAAGAAAAATCTTTAAGATCCCCTGCTTTGCATCTTTCCTGATCTCTAAAAACCCAGAAAGACTCAGGAGTCCCAGGGTAAGTTGTTGTCTCATTGATTAAATACATGCACGGGCACGCAATGCAGGTGCGTGCAACGTCACCGTGATAGGTCAGCATAAAGGGAATGAGATTCAGCAATCTAAACACCCACCAGTCCTCCCCTCCCCATCCCTCCAGTCCTCTCCTCTTTGTTACCACCCTCCCCACCCACACCTGTTTGATGAACTGGTTCAGGGCAGCAGTGAGGTATGGGTTCTGGCAGACTGGGGCTGCAGAGGGCTGTGGCCCTGGAGGCGTTGCTTGGATGCTCTCTGCTCACCCCACACCCAGCGACAGTGTTGTCAGCATTGCATTTATGAGCTTCAAATTTGCTCACCCACCCACACATACAGAGCCAACTATCCCGGCTCCACAATGCTCAGCGGTGAGCAGCGTAGACTTAGCTATGACTCAGCCCCCCAAGGAACCAGGGCCCAGACATCGGGGGACAGCACCCTCCACTGGTCAAAGGAGAGCCTTGCTTCTATCAGAAGTTGATCCTAGAGATCGCCTCTTCCCCACCCTCCAAAAAAAAAAAGGGGGGGGGGGAATGATTCTTACAACGTGGATGGTTCAATACTCCTTCTGGAAGTTAAAAGGCCCAAACAGTCCATCAACTGGAGTGCATGTTGGGAGAGAAGGAGCCTGGTCAAGAGCAGCCTTGGGCCCCATGGGAAACAGTAATGGTGTGGAAATACTGAAGGTAGAAGCCAGGATTTTGAGGGTGGGGGGATAGAACAGTCGGGAGGGTGGGGAGTAGAGTAGTGAGTGGTCCCTGAACAGTGTGGGACCATTCAGTGTCCTAGGACTGGTGTCTTCTCCAGCCCTCCAGGCTGTCCTCAGTAGGGGCGCTGGCCAGCCTCCCTACCTTGGAGGTAAATGATTTGATCTTCCCAAAGAGTGACTTCTTGCTGGTAAAGATGAGGTCATCCTCCACATCCTCGCCTTCCATGATGGCACAGCTGTCGGCTGCTGGCAGGTCGCAGTCCTTGAGCGTAGCGTTCATCACCAGCTTAGAGTACTTGTACTCCAGTCTATGAGGCAGGGGGAATGGCAAAGAGAAAACAACAAAATGTGGAATAAGGGAGAGGGGAGGGAGAAGGACTGGGCCATAAACAGGTAACCACAGGTAAGGAAACTGAAGCATAACAAAATGGCGTGAGGGCTGGGCATATAGCTAAGGAATCTTGATTTCCAGCTCAGCAATCTTTTTTTTGTTGTTGTTGTTAAGGCTGGCTGTTGCTGTGTACCCAAAGCCTAATAGAAATATTGGAATCACAAAGTTATTATTTTAATTATTAATAATAACAACAAATTGAGGATACTATGCTTTTGAGCATCTAACAGTCATTTATAGACTGCCATGTGGTACTGTCCCTGTTCCTGAACAGGGTCAGGATAGCCAAGGTATACATTGGATAAGTGGCTCAACGAGTCTCTGGCCAGAGTCACAGGGTCTGTGGCCAACTCCAGAGAAAAGTCTCATGAATTTATTTCTTGGCTATTCTCTTCCTGGTTCAATGATCCAATCCTGCCCATCCCCAAACTCCGATACCCCATCATGTACTTTTGATTCTTTTTCCAAAAGTAACAGGTCAAGACGGTAAGCAGGATGGCAGTACAGGTGCCTGCAGAGATGCCCACTTTCAGCCAGAAATCGATCGTTTTGCAGATGGTGACTCTCTGTTCAGGCAGGGAGATGCCACCCACGCATAGCTTTGGTTCTCGCCACACATAAGTAGTTTTCTATTGGGGAGAAAAACAAAGGAACTCAGAGATCACATTCCATCCTCTCCTGGGACTTCCTCAAGCAGAGAAACCCACCTGGATCCCAGCCACGCAGCTGCTGACGATAGCGTGGTAGTCAGCAGGGGAACAGAGCGGACAAGCAGCCAGGCTCTCCCACAGGAAGTGGAAGTTACAGCCATCACAGGTCCCATCGGAGCATGTGCTAGCAAAGCAGAAAGGAGACTTGAGTTGCTTACTCGTTGGATGGTGAGAAGATCTGGTGGGAGTCCTGTCACCTGATAGCTAGCCTGTACCATCCTCTCCTTGCCAAACTGTTAGCCCCACCAGGGTCCTCCCAATTAGTCCTTAATACAGATTTTGCTCTCTGATTTCCCTGATGACAAGAGGCCTTTCAGCCTCCACTGGGCTGTCTACTCTATGCCTGTTTGTTTCTGCTAACATAAGATGAGAGCTAGTGTCAGGTGTCTGAGCTGTAGCATGGTTGCCCCAACCAACCCCTCAGAGGCCCCTGTTCTCCCCCATGGACTTGTGACATTTTGCCAAAGCCACTGTGATGCAGCTTCCTGGGGGATGGGTTTCAGGAATGAACTTCAGGCCATGGACATCTGTTAGGTACTCTACTGTGATGTTTACAACAGCAAGAACAGTGTCTTTTGCTTTGACAACACCGCTGACCCAAAATAGCCTGCTTTGCTCCCTATCTCCCTGAGCAGCTGCTATTTAAAAGCAGCATTTTCCAAACCATCTTCCTCAAGATACCTGTGCCCTTCAAGATGTTAGTAGGGGTTATGTGGGATGGCGTGGGGTGGGGTGGGGGAGGAGTACTATAAGCAAATAGGTTCCAGAGTGCTCAATTTAGTGTACTCAGCTATTAAATTCAGAATTGGGTTTTTTGGTTGTGGAGAGATTCCTAGGATTCTTTAAACCATTACTTCTAATAATAGCTAGTACATGCCAGGGAATCGAAAGTCCACAAGTCTCACAGTCTCATTGAATCCCCACAACCACCCCCTGAGGGAACTTCTTCTTATCCTCATTTTACAGATATGGAACAAGAAGCCCAGGGAGGATAAGAAATGTATCCACAATAACATAGCTAGTAAGTGGAGGACATGAATCCAATAACCACTTGGCTATGCCACTGTCCCCATAATGGCATGAGAATGTGAGAGTAGCTTGGACTCTTCCTTCTGCCCCATTCTTGACATCTGAAGATTGAGAATTTGGAGCCATGCCTGTGTCCCCAAGAGCCCATCGATGGTTCTCAGATTGTTTTCTCTTTGGTTCTTGGGATGAAACGAATCCAAAGAAGCAAGACCTTGTCACACCCCTTTACCTTGGCAGTGACAGACTTCCAGGGGTGGGTTTCAGCGGACTGCATCTGACACGGATGGTGGTTGACCTCCCAAAACTACAGGACTGGGTCACATCGTTGGACCTGCAGAGAAAGTCAGCCCCCGCAGGGGAACGAGTCACTCACCTGTTTCATTGGAGAGTCACTCACTGAGGTCAACATGGAACAATTCCCTTGCTGGGGAAGTCAGGACTTGGGAGTGCACAGGTGTTGGTTTATACACCGAGAGAGTGGGGCTCAGGGAGATCCGGTCAAGGGGAAAGGCACTGGTCCAGGAAAGGTTAGCATATGCATAACACCAGAGTCTCCTAAGGCAGGAAGGGAAGTCAGCCACAGATAAGCCCATGTTTCTCCCTGCCTCCGGGGCAGACCTGCCCCAATAGTACCCCAAAAGCTGGGATCAGTGAACTCCCAGCCTGTAGCTGTCATTGCTGGGTGAATCTGCTAGACATCGGACATGTTCTGGCTTGATAAGTAGGTGGCTGGAGAGAGGGATGCACCAGGAATTGTGGAGGGGCTAGGTTTCCCTTGCATCGGCCTGGTCTCTCATCTTCACCTATAAAAGAAGATCACGTCCGGTATTCCCAAGGACTCCGGGTGGAAAAGTTCAGCTGGGGAGGTGATTCCATCCAGAGTCATATCTGTTGTCACCCCTGCCAAATTAGAGCTCCTAATTAGTTGTCACTAGTAGCATGAGCCAGCAACCACTTCAATTCTTTCAATACCTGTCAACATCCAAACCTTCCTCCATCTCCTCACATCCCCGACTGGCTCATGAGAGGGCGAACCAAAGTTTGTCAGAGGCCCCAGGGGGCACTTGGCACCCCGGGAAGCAACAGAAGACAGAGATCAAGAGGTTGGGTCCCTCATCGGGGGCCTTTTTACCTCAGAGCCCGGTAGCCTCACTGTCTCATACACACATACACGCTCAACGAGGCTGGAGCGGCTGGGTTACTCACCAATAAGTCGGTCGGCGAGGCTGACAGGCTGCGAGGACACTCCAGCCTTGTAGCCTGTCACCTCTGGGGGGATGATGACCGCCTGGCATACGTAAGCTGTGATGGATTTGGAGAAACCCGACTCACCCTCAGGAATCCGGAGGTCAGTGACATTGTCTGCACACACGGACATTTTCTTACCCTGGGTTGGGGGACGTTGGGGGGAAGGAGAGGGATGGAGTGAATGAATGGCCACAGGACTCCCAAAGTGGAGGAGGCCAGAGTGCTTGCACGTTTGAAATTTCAGCCTTCCAACAGTATGTCGGTATGTCACAGTGGAATGATTCATCCCAGATCTAATTACAAGACGGATTTTTTTTTTTAAGCTAAAAATAAGACCTCCGTGTCCTAGTTACTGCAACTCTGGCCCAGGGTCACAAGCCTTGTTTCCTTGAAGTCACATGGGAGCCTCATATGAGCAGGGTTGTGATGGTGGCAACTGATCTGGAGCTCTAATCTACTAACCCACCAGTTAAGGGTCTTCCTTATCCTGACCAGTTTTCCAGATAGATACTGAAATATCTGATTCCCTGAAATTTTTGAACATCTGGTCTGGTTCACATTCTCTCTCTGTGTTTCCTTTCATGCTTGTCTTGGGAGCACTTTCCAGAGAATCCCAGCAGTTAAAACCGACCCCATAACTAACTCCCTCCCTGCCGGGGACATCTTAGAAATAATTGGAACCTATTCCATTAAAAAAAAAAAAGTATCAAGAGAAGAAACTTTGTGTTTCTACAGGGAACACGCCAAGAAATAAAACATTCTGTAACAACCCTTACGGTAGAGAACTCTGGAAGATAGTAGGAATGAGATTCCTTCTTCCTGGAGATTTCCTAATACAAGACATGTTAAGATATTATTCCTTCAGGGTAGCCCCGATGGCTCAGCGGTTTAGCGCTGCCTTCAGCCCAGGGCCTGATCCTGGAGTCCGGGATCAACTCCCATGTCAGGCTTCCTGCATGGAGCCTGCTTCTCCCTCTGCCTGTGTCTCTGCCTCTCTCTCATGAATAAATAAATAAAATCTTAACAAAAAAAAGACCGAAATTTTGCCTTTTGCAACCACATGGATAGAGCTAACGAGTATACCCTAAGTGAAATAAAGAAAATTACCTATGATTATACTCGTATGCAGAATTTAAGAGACAAAATAAATGAACAAAGAAAAAAGAGGGGGAGGGGCAAACCAAGAAACAGACGCTTTTTTTTTAAAGATTTATTTATTTATTTATTCATGATAGACAGAGAGATAGAGAGAGAGAGAGAGGCAGAGACACAGGCAGAGGGAGAAGCAGGCTCCATGCCGGGAGCCCGACGTGGGACTCGATCCTGGGACTCCAAAATTGCATCCTGGGCCAAAGGCAGACACCAAACCGCTGAGCCACCCAGGGATCCCCAAGAAGCAGACTCTTAATTATAGAGTACAAGCTGAGTACCAGAAAGGAGGTGAGTATGGGATGGGTGAAATAGGTGATGGGGATTAGGAGGGCACTTGTGATGAGCATAAGCTGTGGTATGGAAGTGTTGAATCACTATATTGAACTCCTGAAATGAATACAACACTGTATGTTAACTGTACTGGAATTAAAATTAAAAGCTTAACATGATGGACGCCCTGGTGGCTCAGTGGTTTAACACCGCCTTCGGCCTAGGGCGTGATCCTAGAGACCTAGGATCGAGTCCCACATCAGGCTCCTTGCATGGAGCCTGCTCCCTGCTGTTCTCCCTCTCTCTCTCTCTCTCTCTCTCTCTCTCTCTCTCTCTCTGTCTCTCATGAATAAATAAATAAGATCTTAAGAAAAGAAGCTTAACATGATTTTAAAAAATGGAAATATACTAAGATTTACAATGTATGATTTTCAATATTCTAAATTTTATTACAAATGAAGTTATGTCAGTTGCTAAATATGGTGATTCTTAGTTTATTTTTTAGCTTGTAAGGTATAAAGAACATGAGAACAGAAAGAAACCTTACATTATAGTATAATAAAGAGTTATTTTGTCTTTGCACTGACAGTCTATGGTGTGACAGTACATAGTAAGAATTTCTGAAAAGAATAAAGGAGCAAAGACCAAAAAAGGCAATCTCTTCAAATTCCCCATTTTCATCTCTCTTCCAACTCACTGAATAACTTTTGCTACATGGGTCTTGCTTTAATCAGTTTCAATTCCTGAGTTATCACTAACTCACTTCGGAAGCTTCATTTTAACTTCTTCAAAGATTTTAAAAACAAGATAGAAAAAAAAAAAACAAGATAGAGACATGTATCTCTAATCTTCCATAGGTTAGTTTCTTTCTTTTTTAAAATTGGGATATAATGGCCATGGAACATTGATTAGTTTATTTCTTGGCATGTTCTCTCTATAAACACAAATCAACTTTTTTTGCACACTACAGAAGGTGGTAGAGCTGTGCTGTGTAAAGGTCTCACGACCACACAGGGTCTCAAACTAAAGACTCAAGGTGCCCATTATTTTGTAACATTTGAAACTAACTCTCAAACTGCTAATCCTGGCTTGTTTGTAATTTAGTTAAGTGGAGAAGTGGTGTTATTACTCTACATTTCTGTCTTTGAATTTTGCATCCAAAAAATTTACAGCAGCATGAAATGGCTAAAGGTAACATTCTTTCCATATCCTATAAAGCCTTTTACATTACTTTTTTTTTTAATGGTCAGCAAAGGTTCTTAGAGATGAACTGCAAATAGTTTATTTTATCCAGCCTTTAGGAAACAAATGACAAGTGCCATGATTAGTGAACGCTGCTTTTTAAAGGGAAAAAAAAACTTCCTCTGGCATTATTTCTATATATTCATTTTGATAGAGAGTAAAGGTCAAGTAGGAGTAAATGAGTATCTTATCTTAAACACCTTTATTTTCCTAAGTGTTTATAATCCAAATGAAATAATTTTAGATCCGAAGGTCCTCTGGAAGAATAACAATCACTTAGAAACCCTTGCGTTTTCTCAATGGCCTGCTGCCTGGTTTTTCGGACTTTTGCTCCTGTGTCCATCTCTGGCTCTGACCCACTGGTGTCCCCTTTCAATACGACACAATCGGTACCCACACAGCTTACCTGGTTTCCACACAGACTGAGGGTAAAGTGATGGAAATATTTCAGCCCTTTGGAAGTGAAGCTTGGCCCTCCGGCCAGAGAGACGGTGTTTGCCAAAGCCAAGAAGTTGTAGTCCAGAACCCTGGTGGGGGTGCCGATTGAGAAGGTGCAGTCATTGTAGCACAGAGAGTGGATCTGAGGGGAAAGGGCCCATCAGGCTGGCTACTCAGGCGGCGCCCTAAGGGGACCGCGGTGGACAGGGGCTGCTAGTGTCTTCACCTTGTCCAGCCCAGGGGTGGGACAAGTGGACGTAAGGATTGGGTGGCCATTAAAATAAGGGAAATGGGCGAGTGGGGGTTATGTACAGCCCATGGCTCACTTGTTAGCACATATGTGACGTACAAACCCAAGTCTACTATTTTTCAGTAAGGAATTCGGTCAGAGTTTTAGCCTTGTCCCTATGCCTACATGATCGAACTCTCTCTCTCTCTTTTTTTTTTTGATCAAACTCTCTTAAGACACAAGGTAGCGCTTCTTGCTTTTCAGCAGAAGACAGTGAGGTGCTAACAGGATGCAGAAGAGAAACTACAAGCCTTGCCTGTGCCCCATTTAAAACTCACTGAAGCCTACCTCCTCCCTCCCAGGTTCTCTACAGGACACTGAGCTTTGGGAGGGGATTTAGGGGCGCCTGGGTGGCTCAATGGGCTATGCGTCAGATTCTTGGTTTTGGGCGCAAGTTGTGATCCCATGGGTCCTAATCTCACGGGTCACGAGATTGAGCCCCACATTGGGCTCTGTGCTCAGAGGGGAGTCTGCTTCTCTCCCTCTGCCCCTTCCCTCCCTTGAGCAGTCTCTCTCTCTTTGGCATAAATAAATAAATCCTTAAAAGGGGGGGCGGTATTTATTTCCCATAAGTCCTATAGACCACTTACTCCCATGTTAGGATCCTCATTCAGCAACTGTCATTCCCTCCCATAGCAGCAGAGGGAGCCCCAGGGGAGAAAGTTTGTGGCAAGGCTAAGGTGCCCAAAAGAGGTTGCCCAGGATCTGCAGAACGGCTGCATATACTGCCCAGCTAAACTGAGCGGCATTTGTGTGACTGTATAAATGCCTTACAGATGTCTGTGTGTTCATGTGGTTGTGATAGGTGAAATCCAAGCTCATTTAAAAAGCATGAATGAATACCCAAGAGCTGAGCAGCCCTGGTGGCTCAGCAGGTTTAGCGCCCCCCTCCAACCTAGGGCGTGATCCTGGAGACCCAGGATCAAGTCCCCCATCAGGTTCCCTGCATGGAGCCTGCTTCTCCCTCTGCCTGTGTCTCTGCCTCTCTCTGTGTGTGTCTCAATAAATAAGTAAAATGTTTTTCTTTTTTTTAAATTTTTATTTATTTATGACAGTCACAGAGAGAGAGAGAGGCAGAGACACAGGCAGAGGGAGAAGCAGGCTCCATGCACCGGGAGCCCGACGTGGGATTCGATCCCAGGTCTCCAGGATCGCGCCCCGGGCCAAAGACAGGCGCCAAACCACTGCGCCACCCAGGGATCCCTAAGTAAAATGTTTTAAAAAAAAAATACCCAAGAGCTTTTTGTCATGGTGCTTTCTTAGCTTCAGAAAGTACATGGGGGGGGGGGAGTACATGGGGGCAAGAACACTGTTTTTCTACTTTAGAAAAAACCTCTAGGATATAAGACAGCAATGCCAGTTAACTGTATGTTCCAGCAAAGGCGGCTGCCCTCCCAAAGGAGACTGGGCAAACGCTCATGATAATAGGCTCGGTTGAAGTAGGCTGAATGTGAGCCCAAGCTCTTATTCCTTCCCTTTAGGTCTCTACAGAGATCCAGATAACCCTCTGGACCAGATGGTCACAGACCTCCCTAATCCATCTCTTGAAGATGAGACTTCCCATGGCCCTGAAAACCAACCTCTACAGCTAAGAATTTGCCCTCCAGGATCACAGTCTGGGTGTGTGTTCTCAAAGACTCTCACCAGAGAGTAAGCTACAGGGCAGGCTTGGGTATGGCCCCTCAAGAACCCCACCAGGTCCTGACACCCTCTGAGGTGGGCCATCCAAAGGAGCAAGGTGAGGATGCATGACACAATGCTGGCACCTTGTTGCTCTTGGTCCCTGGACCACAGGGTATGCAGGCCTGAATGCCATAAGGCTGGTGGGCTTTCAAGATTGTGTTAGGGGGGCAGGAATGGCAGGTTCCTGAATCCCGATCAATGTAGAAGCCAGCAGGACAAGAGGTGCAGGAGGAGCCCATGTCAGAAGCTTCTAGGGCACAGGGACGGCAGTAGGAGGCCACCCCGTCCATGACGTTGGTGACATTGATGGAGTAGATTTTGGCGATGTCATTGGTGTACTTCCTGCCCTGGAAACAAGAGGAGAGAGGGCATAGGCCTGAGACACTGGCAGCAATTGAGTTCTCTAGGAATAGCATATGACTATTTAACACTCTTTATCCTATGATACTTGAGAAAAATCTTAGAAACATCCTAATCTTTTTACTCACTAAAGAGCAGTTCTTTGTTGTTGTTATTTTTTTTAAGAGTAGCTCTTTGTGAACATTTTGTGTCACATTAAACCAAGACTAACCCATTCTAAATGTATAAAAATATTAAGCGCCATAGGGGAAATATGCAGTAGATACCATCATATGAAAAAAAGTAGGTCTTTTCCTTGTGAAAGGGGAAAAAAATGTATTTGAACTTAGAGTGTCATTTTCCCTGGGGGTCATTTGGATAAAGCTGGATGCTTCTCAGAAGCTGAAATAGGAGAGTTCTATGCTTGACTCCTTCAGATCCTTCTAACCCCTTGGGTTCTGAACCTCACATTCATACTTAAGCTAAGGCCAGGAATCATCCTGGCCCAGAGGTCTCTCCTGGGAGCCAGGAGTCTGGAGAAGGGGAGGAGCTTACTGTCTCATGAAAAGTGGTCCTCTGGAAGGCCCAGGTGAAGCTCATGGTAGCATTCTCCTCGATGATATAGGTGTAGGACTGTTTGCCTTTGGAACCTTTCCATGTCTCCACGGGAGTGTTGGTCCTAGAATTCACACCCTGAACCCAAGACAGACAAGTGAAGAAGATACAATGGCTGGGTGGCTGGTAGGGGACAGGGTTCCCCTACTGCTGCCAAGCCAGGGCCCATCACGGTTGGGCAGACTCATGTTAAACTGTGAAGTCCCTGATGGACAGTCTGGGCCCTTCCTTTGTGAAATCACTATAATTGGGGGTGTCAGTTATGCTGATACACCAAAGGGGCAGAGGGGGACCAACGCTCCCAACAGTCCCAGGAAGCCCCATAGCAGACAAAGAAAGCGAAACATACCACCATGAAGTAGAGCTCACAGTTCACAGAACAGATGGTCTCAAAGACAAATGTGATCCTGGCCACCTCTTTATTCTCTGTGTCTGCCATCACCGACTGTGGAGGTCTGTGGGGGCAGAAGCTGAAAATTAGTGTCAGGGACCAGGCAGCACTTACTGAAGAGCCCGGACAGCAACCAAATGTCTGCTGGGGGACAGGATTAAGTTCTGGGTATGCCGGAAAGAGCGTGGATTAGTCCAATTCTGCTACCTGGCTATGTGACCAAATTGTAGTTTCCTTATCGGTAAAATGAAGGTGATAATACCTTTCTTATCTACCTTCCATCGCCATGGTGAGATCCCAGGGCATAGCAGATGTGGGAGTGCTTGGTAAGATGCTATAGAATCTCACCAGCCAAGCAGGGTCCTTGGAGCTGCAGCATTGCCCTCACCTGAGCTGTTAGAGGCACAGAACCTCAGGCCTCCCCAGACCCACAGAATGAGAATCTGCACACTGACATGATTCCTAGGTGATGCATGAGCACATTAGGGTTTGACAAGCTCTACCACCATTAGGTGTAAATTACCTACGTTCACTTATCAGCTCCCTCTCTCGGGTGGTAGGAGCTTTCCTTGGGTCGAGTGAGTAGATATTTCAGTTTGTCATCTCTTCAGCAAAGTTCTCAGGCTGGTCCTTCTTTTGGGAAAGAGAGAGCCATGCGGGGGTGGGGAGGATAGGGGGGGTGTGAGTGGGGGAGGTGAGGAAGCACTTTACTACAGTAGTCAGCTTTGTAAATTGAAAAGTAGTTTTGGGAATGTTACTCCCCCCAAAGCCTAAAAAATTTGCTCACCTTGTAAACAAGATAAAACTGCTCACCTCTGAGTAGTGTAAATTAAGGAAAGGGAAATGAATACCTTTTGAGCAACTATACCGTGGGCTAAATGCTGTGCTGGCGATGGAAAGGGGGAGCTTGAAGATGGTAATGGAGACATCAGACTGGCCATAGGGAAACCCATTCAGTGCTCCCATCTCATCTTGAAAGTGTATATCGGCAAAGATTTCACTTTGGCTTTGGAAATCCATTTATAGCTCAGCTTTTCTTTTGGCTTTGGCCATTTGCTTGTATCCTAAAGACCACCAGTGCCAGTTCCCATCTACACAGTTATGCTAACCACTGGACTAGAAGAATAATCTCAACCTGAGTTAGTCCAAAGTCACAGACTGTCAACCCACCTTGTTTTACAGATGAGAGCCTGAAGCCCAGAGGAGCACAGTGACTTTCCCAAGTTCACAAAGCCAGTAAGTAGCAAAGTTCAAGTTCCCTGTGTTCAGTCCAGTGTTCTGTCCACCTTACCACACTGTATTATTTTATTTATTTATTTATTTATTTTAAGATTTTATTTCTTTACTCATGAGAGACACACACACACAGAGAAAGGCAGAGACACAGGCAGAGGGAGAAGCAGGCTCCCTGCAGGGGGCCCAATGCAGACCTCAATTCCAGGACTCCAGGATCAGGCCCTGGGCTGAAGGCGGCACTAAACCGCTGAGCCACCTGGGCTGCCTGTTTTTTTATTTTTATTTATTTATGATAGTCACACACACACACACACACACACACAGAGAGAGAGAGAGAGAGAGACAGAGACACAGGCAGAGGGAGAAGCAGGCTCCATGCACCAGGAGCCCGACGTGGGACTCGATCCCGGGTCTCCAGGATTGCGCCCTGGGCCAGGGGCAGGCGCTAAACCGCTGCGCCACCCAGGGATCCCCTGTTTTGGGGGTTTTTAAATAACATTTTATCTGGTGGCATGAGGAAGAAGAATTCAAGTAGCATGTGGCTAATTAATGAGAGAAGCCAGATGAGAAAGAGCACCACCAGTAGGTCTGCCAGCGTGGGCAGCAACTAAAAAGCCACGTTACACTCAGGTTAACTCTGTTAGACCATTGCCGTGCTCTCCTGTTCTGAGCTCATGCTTGCACATGCCGGGAGCTCTCTCACAACATTCCAAGCTCTGTGGGACTTGGATGTGACCAAGGTGGTGTGGGCTTCCCCTGAGCTTTGTATTCCTCACCTGAATCCTGGCACAACCAGAGTGAGAATCATGAAGTCATTGTCTGAGGCTCCAACAGCCGTGTAAATGTGATCACCAGCCACCTCCCAGCCTGGAAAAGGAGAGGGGAGAGTTAGTACCCCAGTGGTCACAAGTGCAGGGCAAACATGCACCCAGATGATACCCTGAAAGAGAGAGAGAACACTATCCGTTGAAGCGACCAGAACCACTGCCAAAACCAAATCATATTATTTATCCTGCTACTTGGTCAAGGACTCTGAAACTCTCAGAGCAAGCCCTTTGAAGTGTGTGCACATAGTTTCTAGCTCTAGTTTGATCTCTAAAACTAAAGTTTGGCAGAATAAAGGTCCATGAGGAGTGGAACTTTCCAGAGAATGCATGGCATGATCAGCTCATTTTTCTCCAGACATCACTGCTATGAAGAAATGCAAAGTGAGGGAGCTCCCCTTCTGCAGGGAGCCGACAGCTCCCAGTAGGTGAGGAGGAACTCACCAGTCATGCCCTTGTACTCAAAGTTGATCCCACTGAGAACGGTGGTTTCCATGTTTGAGGGCAGCGTGTTCCACCATTTGTATTCAAATCCCACGGCCGGCTCAGTCCCAGCTGGGCAGTGGCTGCAATCTGGGGGAACCACAAGACCCACACCTTCAGCAGGAAGGTTGCAGCCACCCTGGCTGAAGCCGCTGTCACAGAGACAAGTGGCAATAGGGGTGGGCAGCCAAAGGAGGGTAATACTGAGCACCATAGCACAGTTATACCAAGTCGACTCCAAAACATTCTGATGATATCTTTCACATATTCAGGACGTAAACACAGACCCTGAATTCCAAAACTCCAGCTATCCTACTTGCCCACCAAAGTGTTCATTTTATCAGTGGGAAATATCAGAGAGGGTGAAGGAACATGAGAGATTCCTAACTCTGGGAAAGGAACAAGGGGTAGTGGAAGGGGAGGTGGGTGGGCGGATGAGGTGACTGGGTGACGGGCAGTGAGGGGGGCACTGGACAGGATGAGCACTGGGTGTTACACTACATGTTGGCAAATCAAACTCCAATAAAAAAATATACAAAACCCCCCCACAAAGTATTCATCTTAAAACTTGAGTGTGTCTTCTAGTCTGATGCATACAGTTCATATTATTGTCACATTATTATCAGTAAATGCATTTACATGAATATTTACACAAGTCCTCCCAACACCCTTCTGCAGCATGACTTGTGGTTCTGATCGTGTAAGGCTGGCCATCCCAGCTCCCCAGACCTCCTGGTTAGCATCCCTGCTGCATGCTGGAAGTCTATGTTGTGAGGACTGGGTACTTTAGGCCGGAGTCACAATTGCAGTTGGAATAGGAATAGTTGGAATAAGGTAAGCAGTTCTCGACTGTGACTCTGACCTACGGACAGAGCCCCCACCCTGACCTCACTTCTCTTGAACTCAGTCCTCAGAGTGGCCTGGCCCTTACTGCCTCCCCTGGGAGGACAGAGTGCACATTTGGCTGACACTCTGTGTCCCCACGTGACCCACCCATCTGGGGTCACGTGGGAATGGACAGAATGCAGATAAAGAGGTTACCAGAGCCGTTGGAGTACGAGCCATAAGGGCAGGGCTCGCAGGTGCTGTTGTTGGTTTTGAAAAAGCCTGGGTTGCAGGGTGGGCAGCGGGTCTTCACGCCAGAGGCGGGCAGCTTCACAGCCCCCTCGAGATCCTCACCACAGATTTTCGGCTGGGCCCATTTGTACATGAGCTGTGTCTGCAGAAATGGATTAAGAATGGCTCAGCCTGTGTAGGATTTAGCACATCTTTGGGAATTCATCCTGAGAGTGGAGGGAAAGGAGGGGACTCTGGGCTAAAATGAAAGTTTCACCAGGGCAGGGAACTCATTTGGTCACTCATTTGGTGTATCCCATGATCCTAGCCCAGAGCCTGACACATGGCTGTGCTCAATAAATATCTGTTGATATTTAGCTGACTAGATGAAGAGGGATATACTTAGGGAGGGCATGTGTCACCGAGAGATGGGAAGGACCAGTTGTCTCCAGAGAGAGCTCTGATTCCAATGTAGACTCTTATTACTACCAAGGTCACTTGGAAAAAGTAGCGATGAAAACCCCAAGACATAAAAAGGGATGTCCCAATTTGTCTTCCAAGCATTTTCTTTCCTTTCCCCTTATTCACTAGACATTTATAGAAAGCCTAATACATCTGTGTGCCAGACCTGGTGGCTCGGAGATGAATGAGATGAATGGCCCCTGCCCTTAAGGAGCTCACCATCTAGCAAGGGCAACAATCACATAATAACAGCCCATGTGGGTGGATGGACACTGTGTTCTCTGGGACATTAAGGCAAAAGGGACATTGTAGGGGGGAAATGTGAAATGGAACTGTCATCCATCATATCAGTGGACAAGGGAAACATTTTGTCTGTCACTCATTAGGGCTATCCCTACTCTTTTGATGGAAGCACTGGACACAGAAGAAGGGATGACCTGCAGGAGGCTCCTCATCTTAAAACTTGGCAGCTCAAGCCTCCTATATGGCCCTTGGGCCAAGTCAGAGATGAAAGATGCTCTTATGAATTACATTGAAGGGATGATGATCTGGGCAACACTGCCATACGTGTGAAGTAGTGGATGAATAAGGCATCTGTTCATTTTATTCAGGATAAGAAATGACAAGTCTTAAGAGGAGTCTGTGCTGCCTTCACTGATGGGAGTCCCTGGGGCTTATCCTCTCCCTGCTCAGCTCCACTGTGAAGAGATTCCTCCCTGTGAAGAGTAGCCAATGGCCAGAGCCCCAGGTTTGTGCTCTAACCTGGGTGCTCTCATCCAGCTAGTCCACTTAAGTCTCATGGAGAGAAGGGTCTGGGGGGGCGGGAAGATTGACTTGGACCATCTCTTGGAGCAGCACATGCAGCAGCCCCAGGGGAATAGCCAGCCCGGTCCCTGAGAAACCACCAAGGCACAGCAAAGGCCACAAGGGAAATCATGGAAGTCAGCTCAAGTTATGATCCTTGATTTAAAAATACAGTTTAGAAGACAAAGTGAAATCATGAGACTGAACAGAACCAGTGCAGGCGTTAGACACGAATCATGAGAGTTCTGTAAGTTGTTCCTGATGAATGCATATTCATGTGCACTCATGCTTTGGGGCCCCTCCCCTGAGCCTTGGCTGGGCTGCAAGAAGAGCAATGGCTCTGGCCCGACTGAGCATCCAAAGGCAAAGGCCCCAGGGTGTTCAGGCAAGAGCAGACATCCAGGCTGGCAGGCAGCAGCGTTCACTACAGATCAAGAGGGCCTTGGCCTGAGCCTGTGAGGGGAGAGATTGGGGCAGAAGGACGCAAAGACAGCCATGCATTCATGTGTTACGCTGGGGAGGGAGAAGAGGAGCAGGATTACGTGTTCCCATTTAATTAGTGAGTCAATTGATGCCAAGAAAATGAAAATGATTTTTACAAGGTCATACAGAAGCCCAGACACTGCATGACTAAGTCTAAGGTAAAACTGATGAGAGGTGTAGCCATTTTCCCTTGGCTGCGGGGGAAGGGAATGATGTTTCAAATGCTAGGGCAGGGGAGGAGGAGGCTGGAGAGTGAGAGCTAAGGATGAAAAACAATCACTGCTAAGGACCAGACTTTATCCCATGCTTATCTGGCAAAGAGAGAACTCATCCAGCCTTCCAACCAGCAAACCCTTATGCATCCTAATAGCCAAGCACATGCTTATGCTGAATGCAGATGTCCCAACTTCTCTCTTCTTGAGAGGCTGTGGTTTAGGGGTACAGACAACTCATCCAGAATGTCTAATCTAAGACAAATCCCTCCACTTGTGTCCCTGAGCCATCCCAGCTCACTTCCTGCTGTTCCTGGAATTCACTGGGCACAAGACTGCCTCCTCCACACCTGCTGTGTGCTTGCTGGAAAGCACTGTGGCCACCACTTATGTCACTCAGGTCTTTGTTCAAATCTTAATGTTCTCAAGTGTCATCCCAACCCTCTCTAAAATAGCATCTCCACCCTCTGTCATTCTCTGTCTCCGAATCTTTTTTTAAATTTTTTTCTTCCCCTTACTGCCATCGGATATACTCTAATTTGTTGTTTATCTGTTGTCTCTCTTTCCACTTGTTCCCTGGCAAGAATTAAGCTCCAGGAAAGTAGCTGTCCCCTCCGTTCGGTTACCTGCTGGATGCGGAGGGCCTGGCACCTTAACTGACTGTGGAAATGAACACATGACCTCCCTCTGAAAGGCCTTCCTTGGCCCCCCACACCTCATTCACTCCTCTTCCAGCTTCCCCCAGGCCCCTGCAATCTTCTAATTGCTTTGGTCAGGGCCTGGTTCTTCTCCCTCACCTGCCCTCACAGGACTGTCGGCTCCCGAGGGCAGGAGCCTTGATCACCTCGGAGCCCCCAGCAGGAGCCCCATGCCCGCACAGCATTAATCCTTAGAACACCCTGCTGAATCAGAGGCGATGCATGCTACAAACAAACGTCCTTCTGAGGCAGAAAGCCTGGTGGGAAAAGGGAACCAGCAGAGACTGAACGGTCAGCCCATTCTCCAGTGAGCCCAGAAGTAGGAATCCATTCCCTTTGCCCACAAAAGCAGCGCCTAGGAGACAGGTCTGATGAGCTCCATGAGGAAATGAGTGCGCATGGACTGGCAGTCATTGCCCAGGGGGACTAAGCAAATGGATGAAACCAAGCAAAAGAAAACGAAATGGCTTCTTGCAACAGAGCATATGTGAATAAGCAGCAGAACAAATGCGGTGAAACAGTTTCTGACCTGAAAATGAATGAGGCCATCTCGTTTTGCCTCCCCTCACCTCCAACCCCCCACCCCACCCCTGGCTCTGGGGTCACTGTGGAGGTCTGTGTGGTCTTCTCCAAGGTAAATGTGGTAAAGCCCAAGGAGTGGGCAAAGGAGCTATCTGGGGCAAAGGGGCTCCATGCTACCCACCTCTCCATTGGCATCACAGGCTGTGTGAGTATAGAAGTAATCTTTGTCCGTGCAGGCTGGGCGCACTTTGCAGGAAGAGGATCCCTTTTCTAAATTGCAAAAGGACACATAGTTGAAGTTACTTAAGAAAGTGGGTCTCTTGACCACTTGCTCATGACCCTCTGACATCCAGGACCCTGGGGTACACGCCACAGGGACTGCAGGAAGTAGAAAATTCTGCATACCCACCCTTCCCTTTACTTCACTGCCAATCCCTAAAGCCCCACTCAGATATCCCCTTTGCACCCTGGTGCTATGAGAAGCTACTGGGCCCATCCTGTGGGGAAGGGCATATGGAAGGGGACCAGTCAGTGGGTCAGTGTGGAGGGTGGGTAGCCACTGGAAAGAGCATCTTGCAGGCTGACCACCACTAACTTGAGTTCTCAACACCTGCCACCTTCCAGGTGCTTCCCAATCTTGACTCTGTAGGTGGTTTTACTACTCCTGAAGGATTAAAGCAAAACACTGGAAAGCTTAGGACAGTGCCTTCATACTCTTATTTCAGTTCCTTCTCTGCAGTTTCTCTTACTGTCCACCTCTAATGAAGGCCTTCCACCTTTGGAATTTCCCCTTCTTCGTGCAACCATCCTACACAAATGTGATAATTTCCCCTGGGTCCACATAAAGTGTAGAGTTCTTTCCACTTTCCCCACCCTCACACATTCTGCTACTATTTCTAACCCTTGTCCTGTTCCTAATAAGAAAAGGTATCAACTACCATTTTACTTATTCCACTCTCTGTACATTAGTTCTGCTTTAACCTCATGAATGCCTGGATAGGAAGTACTATTTCAGTGTCTCCCTCTTTAAGGTAATAGACTTTACCTTTTTTGAATTACAAACATTTTGAGAATTTGAAAAAAAAGACCTGTTTCCTCTCCTGAAAAATATACATAACTTATGCAAATACATTAAAAAATTTCCAAGGAATTTATTTTCTCCAAAATAAAAACCACTGCTTTATAGAATGCCAATACTACTACTACTACTACTACTACTACTACTACTACTACTACCACTACTACTACTGTCACTACCATTTCAGGTGACTACTGTGTCACCTGAAGGTAAGCACTTGATACGAATGAGCCTTCCTCTCTCTGTATATATTACCTGGCAGGCCATGTGATAGAGTGGAATGAGATTTTTTTTTTAAGATTTTATTTATTTATTCATGAGAAAGACAGAGAGAGAGAGAGAGGGAGAGAGGCAGAGACACAGGCAGAGGGAGAAGCAGGCTCCATGCAGGGAGCCTGATGTGGGACTCATCCAGGGACTCCAGGATCACACCCTGAGCCAAAGGCAGATGCTTAACCGCTGAGCCACCTAGGCGTCCCTGGAATGAGATTTTTAAAAAATTTTTTAAAAAATTTATTTATGATAGTCACACACACACAGACAGAGAGGCAGAGACACAGGCAGAGGGAGAAGCAGGCTCCATGCACCCGGAGCCCGATGTGGGATTCGATCCCGGGTCTCCAGGATCACGCCCTGGGCCAAAGGCAGGCACTAAACCGCTGCACCACCCAGGGATCCCTGGAATGAGATTTTTAAATCAGATAGATCTGGGTTTGGATCTTGCTTCATTCAGTAGCTGTGTCACTTTAGGCAAGTTACTGAACCTCTCTGAGTCTTAGTGCTCTTATCTGTAGAGCAGGAATAATAATATCTACCTTACTGAGGCCAGCACATCCCCTGGCTGCATTGTAAGAAGGGACTCACTAAATTCTGGTAACTCTTATTACCTGAGTTTGTGGGAATTATTTTTATTTGGTAACCGTCTGTGGGAATTATTCTTATATGGTAACTGTCATGGGATTTTTAAAAAAGACTTATTTATTTGAGAAAGAGAGTAAGCAAGCACACAGGGGAGAGGGAGAGAGAGAATCTCAAGCAGACTGTCTGCTGAGCATGGAGCCCAACCTCATGACATTGAGATCATGACCTGGGCCAAAATCAAGAGTCAGACACTCAACCAACTGAGCCTACCCAGGCACCTCTGTCATGGTATGTTTTATTTTATTTTATTTTATTTATTTTATTTTATTTTATTTTATTTATTTTATTTTACTTTATTTTAAAGATTTTATTTATTTATTCATGAGACACACACAGAGAGGCAGAGACATAGGCAGAGAGAGAAGCAGGCTCCCTGTGGGGAACCCAATATGGGACTCGATCCCATGAGTCCAGGATCACGTTATAGGATTTTAAGTTAGGATTGAAAGTTTCTTTCTCTCCCTTCCAGTTAAGGCTTATTCCTCAACTGATCCTTTCTTTCTGAGGTACCAAAGGAGTCACTAGATCAGAGAATCTCCTAGTTTCAGCCTCATCGGCCTATCCTGGGGAGCTCCCTCAACTGCACATTCCCACACCTCTTCTGTCCCAGTCTTATTATCCTGGGCAAGAGGGAGCTACTGCCTGGGAAACAGCTGGAGTCTTCTCAGCTCATTGACTTAGTTAACAAGCAGAAGGCCTCGTTAGGCATAGAGGGATACAGGGATTCCTGCTTTTGACAAGCTAAGGCCAAGAGCATTTTGGAAGGAGATGCTGAAAACACACCAATTTCCAAGAACCTCCATATATGGTCCAGCAAATTACAAGTTCCGTGTTAGGAAGTACATTCTGCACATGGACCTTTCTCTCCTTGTCAAATATTTGCTCGACCTGATACCCTAGCTCCAAGTTTCAACAAAAGTGGTCCAGCTGTTTACACACTGACAATTGCTAGCGTCGTTTATATCAATGATTAACTCAAACGCTGAGCCGGACCTCAGGTTTCATCAAAGTGTTGAAGTTGGGTACTGGTCAAGTTTGAAAGATCCGCCTAGATGTTTGGGGAGGGAGTGAAAAGTGATTCCTGTACCATCGGCCCCAGGGCAAAACTGTGCGAAGATAAAGCTTATCACGGGGGTGGGGTGGGGGTAGGAGGGGTGGGGGGTGGGGTGTTCGGATTTCTTTTTCTGAGCCTTCTTCCTTTCAGGACCTTCTCCCCACCTCCAGGAGTACAATATCCTCTCATTCAGATCCATTTCATCAAAGGAAAAGATTTCCCCTGAGGATTGAAGCACCTAATGAATGCTTGGCCCAGCTTAGATACCACCCCAGACTCCGGGCAAATCCCTCAACCTCTCTGCTCTGCCTCTTCTTCTCCTTTCTTCTTCTTCTTCTTCTTCTTCTTCTTCTTCTTCTTCTTCTCCTTCTCCTTCTCCTTCTCCTTCTCCTTCTCCTCCTCCTCCTCCTCCTCCTCCTCCTCCTCCTTCTCCTCCTTCTTCTAAAGATTATTTATTTATTCATGAGAGACAGACAGAGAGAAAGAGAGAGAGAGAGAGGCAGAGACACAGGCAGAGGGAGAAGTAGGCTCCCTGCAGGGAGCCCCATGCGGGACTCCATCTCAGGACCCCAGGATCACACCCTGAGCCAAAGGCAGATGCTCAACCACTGAGCCACCCAGTGCCCCCTTTAATTTTTTTATAAACAGGGAGATCTCTCCTGCACTCTGCTGTGAGTAATAATCGAGAAAATGTTTGGTAAATTGTAAAGTACTATCCAAGTGACTCGTTATGGTTGTTACCTACACTAGGAGTACTTTCATATTAAGAGAGGACAGCTGGGAACAAGCTTTATCATAAAGGAACACATCTGACCCTTAAACCACACATGTTTGAACTGGGCGTGTCCATTTACTTGCTGTTTTTTTTCTTTTATAAATACAGTATTGTAAATGTATTTTCTCTTCCTTATGCTTTTCTCTTTTTTGTTTTTTTCCTCATGCTTTTCTTAACAACATTTTCTTCTCTCTAGCTTCTTTTATTGTAAAAATACAATATATGATATATAAAAAATACAAAATACGTGTTGATCAATTATTTATGTTATCAGTAAAGCCATTATTAGGGTCATTAGTAGCTAAGTTTCTGGGGAGTCCAAAGTTATATGCTGGGGAGTGGGGAGGTGAGAGGGATGGGGGGCGGTGTTGGTACCTCTTGTCCCTGTATTGCTCAAGGTTCAGATGTGATAAAATTAGTGCTTACTAGATGCCAGGCACAATTATAAATATTTTATGTGTAGAAGTTAATTGAGCCACACAAAACACAATGAAGTAGATATGATTATTGCCATTCCCATTTTATAGACAAGGAAACTGAGGCACAGATAAATGCCTTGCCCAAGATGGCAGAGCTAGTAAGTGGTGGAGCAGGGATTTGAACCTTAGTAATTTAGTCCTGGAGTCTGCGCTTTTAAACTCCATGCTGCTCTATTAGGAAATGAATCCCTAATATCGAATGTAACACAAAGGAATTCTTTTTAATGATCACATTTTAGGTATCAATAAGAAAGGTGCATTTAGTCAAGCCTTTGTCCTTAACGTCTGCAGTCCCAATAGCTCCATCTTCCTTAGTCCAGGTCCTGGATACCAGCAATGGTGTCTGTTGTGAAATCTCTAGACTGAGGCCTCTGCCTCCACGTGTTTCCTTCCTCATCCATTTTCCAAATGGCAGGTAAGAGTGGTCTTTCAAAATCACAAGCCAGATCACGTCACTCCCTGGCTTAAAATTCTTGAATGGTCCCCACTGCTGATAGGATCAAATCCCAAATATTTAGCAATGGCACAGAAGGGCTGGTCCACTGTCTGTTCCCTGCCCATCTCTTAGCCTTGGATGCTAGTTCTTTTCAAGTCAACTCCTGCCATACCGGGTTTTTCCAAGATCCCCAAGCCTTCTGGCTTTGCCTACACTCCTTCCAGAACATCCATCAAACCACCAATTCATCTTTCAAGTCCACAGTCACTGAAACCTTTTCTCCCTCCCCAGAGAGGACTGGCCACGCCCCTTCTTTACATCTACTGTCCACCACACTCAGAGCTCCTATCCCAGCAGCCGCCATATCATGAAGTTACTATACACTTGGGTGTTCCTAGAACCATGTTCTCACTTTTCAACTTAAGCTGCAGGGCAGGCACCAGTTCTGAGTCTAGCACCAAGTCTAAGCCTTGGCACCTGGCAGGTGCCTGGGACTTCTTTGTAAATGGATGACTAAATGCTCACTGGGTCTTCAGTCACTCCCTTTAGGCACATTCCATCATGAGCTCTGATCAGATCTCCCTGCATTTTCCCAGCCTCCCACTGACCCTGTTTTCTGGAAGAGTCAAGTCACAGTAAAAACTCACTTTCCAGTCGAAGAGGTGGATTGAGTAATTGGTGGCAAAAGGAAAACCAACTCCAAGAACTCACACTTCTAAGCCGACACTTTCATAACAGCTCTCTGGATAACAATCAGTTTACATAGAGAGTTGACCAAAACATTCCCAGGAGGTTTTTTGAGAGCCACCTTGCCATTCAAACCCTTGCACGACTGCTGGGCTGGAATGGCAGCTGGAGATTCAGATGAACAGGGGCTGCCATTGATAGAGCAGGGAACGGGAATGAGAAATTCAAGTGGAAAAACAGGAATTTAGACTGATAGATTAAAGACTTCCCTCGAGATCTAAACATTCCTGTTCTCACTGGAAACTAGACTCACTTGGCAAGATCTGTGTCGATAAATAGGACTTTTGTTTTAGAAATAGTGTATAAATAAGCAGTTCACAAGGTCAATGGCTGGTCGTGGCTGAACAAACACATAGTGTAACACCTGCGTGAAGAACGGGTGTGTCTATGGACAGACTGGAGGGTCTGCTCTAGAGAGATCCTGGAGCTGGGTGTGTATGTGGTTCTGCATAAGAAAAGAAAAATGGAACTGTTACGGGCTGCCTGAGCAGAGTCCTCTGGGGGGGATGTCACCTTACAGCAGAGTCCTGCTGCCCTGGGACTCCCTCAAATGAGCAGGTTCTGGGGCACCTGGGTAGTTCAGTGGTTAAGCGTCTGCTTTTGGCGCAGGTCATGATCCCAGGGTCTTGGGATCAAGTCCTGAATTGGGCTCCCCATGGGGAGCCTGCTTCTCCCTCTGCCTGTGTGTCTCTGCCTCTCTCTGTGTCTGTCATGAATAAATAAAATCTTAAAAATAAAATAAAAAATAAAATCTTTAAAAAATATACTTTGCTTATCAATATAGCCTCATGGCTCTTCTAACCTAGCTTTGATAAAATTATTATGAATTAAAATATATAAACATATACCTTTTGTTTACTGTATCTATTGTCTGTAGTTATAATCTTATATAAGGTTTCATTTTTACAAACTTCACTGCTTAGGGGGAAAAAAAAGACTGCAACCCCTTTCACTAGTTTTCCTAATCCCTCTAACCCTGAGCTGCTTTTTATTTTTGCCACAGCACCCTGCACGTTTTACTGTCTACCATACTATAATTTATTAGATATTTATTATTGTCATTGTTTATTGTCTCTCTTCCCCCCACTAGCAGAATGTAAATCCCACGAAGATAAGGAACTTTGTCTATTTTCTCCGCTAATATAGTCCAAACACCTAGAATAGGACCTGGCAGATAGTAGAAGCTCAATAATTACTTGCTGAATGATTTCAGTTTTGTTTTCAGAGTGATCAGTGGAGTATAAATCAGCAGGGCTCTTCCCATGTCCAGAAAGTAAGGATTGAAGAAGGGTCATTTTCAGCATGGCCAGAAGGATGGTTCTCCTTTCTGTTTCTCCCTGTGTTTATTGGCAGCACCCCTACCAAACTCCACCCACCCTCAGAAACCTCACCTGAGTATTTGTCAGGGTCACACGGGTGGCAAGAAGTTTCTCCCTTGTTTGAATAAGAGTTGGCTGGGCAAAGTTCGCAAAAAGAAGAGCCCTGCTTGTCTGCATATGTGCCAGGTTTGCAGGGGAAGCATTCTGAAGTGTAGGCCACCCCTAAGGAGGAAGAACAACATAGAAAAGCAAGGGTTGAGCCTAGAGACTGAGCCCTCCAGGGACTGACTCCCACCCTCCCTGAAGAGTCAGGAAGTCAGCAACAGACCCCAGGCCCAGCTCCCCTCTCTGTACCTGTGATGGCGATGTTTCTCACCAGCACAGGCTTGGAGACTTTGGACCCCACTGAGAAGGCTGTGGTTCTCCAATAGAGGACATTATTGCCTCGGTTTAGCTCGACCTAAAAACCACAAACGGGAAGACGGCTATCCCTAATCCATCAGATTAGCCTCTTATGGGGGCCTGTCCCCTTAGAATCTAGGGGTCAACACCTTTTCTCATCTCCAACCTTGACTTCCTCAGCTTTGCCCTTCCTGCCAGCTCAGCTTAGCTCCTTTCTGCTTTGAAGCTTCCTCTCACCACCCTCTGATGGTCTCTCCCTCACCCACCAGGATCTCTAAAGTGAGATCCACAAAGGGGCCTGGAGGTATTGACAGAGGGTGAGTGGAGTTCCCCCCTTTATCTCTGGTTCTGTGTATCCACATCCCATTCCTAGAAGACCTGGCCCATAAAGCTGGCAAGCTGCTGATCCCTGGGGTCAAGCCATGGATGCAAGTCATCCACACCTCTCTTCAGTCAACTCAAGAGGAAACTATGTTATCCTCACAGATCAGACCCCTGGCCTTGAGGGTGGAAGCCTAGGGAAGGGTGGAAGCCCAGGCTGTGAAGAAGCTCTCCTTGGAGGAAATGCCCTTTGCCCCTTTGCTGGTCTCCCCAGGAAAGGCTCCAGGAAGGCTGGAGCGATACTCACACTGTGGAATTCCCATCCTTTCTCTGTGGTTTTCATCCACCTGGAGTCATCTACATTAGGCTGGCACTGGTCATTCTGAACCTGAGACAGCAGGAGTTTAGGAACAGAGCCTCAGCTTTCCAAGAAAATGGGTTCCTTTACCCCCTGTGCTGCCACAGCCTTCCAGAGGGCCCTTCTTATAGGAGAATAGTTGCCAATTTCCTTTAGGGATAGAGCCCAGAACACATGAGTCTTGAAGCAGGGCGGGAGCTCATCACACACACAAAACATCAGGGCATCAACACCAAGAAACAGCTTTAACTCAGAAGCCTTTACATGCGCTTTCATGTCTGCATGGACAGAACACTTAGGGTCTCCTGAATCCTTCTCTTCCCCTTCAAAGCCCCCCAACTTCTGCCTTTCTCCTCGCCTCTCGAAGTCTTGGCTCATTTTGTCCACAGTTCTTTCCAGAGGGAAGACAACTGTGGAAAATCCCCAACCAGAAATATGCTTGTGATTCCTGTAAATGAATCTGACCCTTGGAGTCTTTTACCTCCCATCCTCCCCCATGGCCAGGGGCTTACAAAAAACTCAAAGATGATGCTGGAGTCTGGGTAATAGTACTCGAAGTTGACAGTGCCAGACTGCTTCAGGTTGACAGCGTACATCAGCGTGGCTGTGCATTCGTCCGTGTTGGAAGAGATGTAGTCACCCAGGGGAACCCACTTGGACCTGTGAGGGAATGGGAGCCAAGTTCACCGGCAGGGGCATGGCCCGTCATGCTTTGTATGAAGTGCACGTTTCATGTCCTGCTGATTCTCTGAGGAACTTCAGATTTGTGATTCACAAGTGGGAATTGAGACATGAACATGCTCAGTGAAGAATGACCTCCAGATCAAGGAGCCTGGGGATACAGCTGACACAAGGCAGACAGGTAGGTGCCCCCTCCGCACCACCACATTATACAGAACTATCCAGAAGATAGATGGCAGGTGTTTGTGAGGGGGAGCTGGGTAACATTAACTGGTTGTTTACTATCTCCCAGGTACTCAACTACATGTTCTGCATTTATGACTTCTTTTCTTTCCCATTTAATGGATGATGAAACTGAGGCTTGGCGAGTACCTTACCCAGTGTCACGTAGCCAGCAAGTGGCAGGGCTGAGATTCAAACCCGGGTCTGCCTAACTCCAAAGCTATCAAAGAAAGTCAGCAGACACCACAGAACCCAGAAGTCCATCAGGTCTAGCCCACCTGTTTTTCTGGAAATGCTCACTTTTAGATGCTGCATGTAACTGGTAACCAGGAAGAAGGAAGACCAGAGAACCTCAGAGACAATCAATCTAGTCTCGTGATTTCATTTTCTAAATATCTCTCAAATTGGTTCAACCCTGCCCCAGGGCTCTCCCTCCTCCTTGCACCCACCCACCCACCTCCCCAGTGCTGAACCAGCCCCTATCTCACCTCCTGTATCCAGTCCTGCCTCCTGCAATTCCTCCTCCACACTTGCTGAAGACCTCCTCCAGAACAAAAATCTGACCATGCCACTTCCCTGCTTCAAACCCATTGCCACCTGCTGCCCTTAGAATAGGGCAGAAATCCTCACCCATTCTCTAGACTCCAGCCAGCCAGCTTTTCTTTCACCTCCTCTGCCAAATTTCCCTCCTTCTGGGTGTTCCTACGTGCTGTTCTCTCTTCCTGGAACAAACTACCTCCTCCCTCCCTCCATTCATTCATTCATTTAGAGGAGGGGGAGAGGCTGAGGGACAGGGAGAGAGAGAATCTTAAGCAGGCTACAGGCCCAGTGCAGAGCCTGACACCGGGTTCAATCTCACAACCCTGAGATGATGACCTGAGATGAAATCAAGAGTCAGATGCTTAACCAACTGAGCCACCCAGGCATCCCTCCTTTCCTCTGTTTAATTCCTACTTGTGTCTATGTCACCTCACCTGAGAAGTCTTCCTTGACTCTACTGGCCTCTGCTATGTGAGCCCTGAGTTCTCACCAATTCTCTTCACCTAGCCACAATTCTCCTCTACTTCACTTACACATATTATGAAAGACTTAAGACCACCATCCTGCTTAAGAAATACAATACAGAGGGTGCCAGGTGGGTGGGTGGGGTCAGTTGGTCAAGCATCTGCCTTCGGCTTGGGACATGATCCCAGGGTCCTGGAATTGAGCCCCATGTCGGGCTCCCTGCTCAACAGGGCGTCTGCTTCTCCCTCTCCCTCTGTTGCTCCCCCTGCTTGTTTTCTCTCTGTGTGTGTGTCAAATAAATAAATAAATAAATAAATAAATAAATAAATAAATGAAATCTTTGAAAAAAAAAAAGAAATATAATACAGCAGAAGCCTTGGTGTTCACCCAGAGAATCTCAAGCCATTGACTTTTCAGCCAAGTAACCAACCACTTTCTGGAATATGGTCCTTACCATCTCCACGTGGTTCTTTACCTTTTACTAATTATGCAGGTATTTCTAAACAACATGTCCTATGACTGTGCTTTTGCATGCTTTTAAACCTTATGTAAATGGCATCATACTTACTGAAACTTGCTTTTTTTGTTTGTTTCACTATAATAATTGTGGGATTCATTCATATCCACACATGAAGCTCTTTTTTCATTTTTGCTACTATACAGTTTTGCCTTGCGTGGTTCTACAGTATTATTTACCCATTACTCACTGATGGACTTTTAGATTGTTTCCAATTTTTTGCTATTATACACACTATTAGAAACATTCTTGTTCCTCTCCTTGTATGTGTGTGTCTAAGGCGGATACCTGGGGAGAACCTGTGTTAGAGGGCATAGGAACCTCTAACTTTACCAGCTCCTGCCACACTGTTCTCCAAAGTGGTTGCTACTGACTTACACCCACGGGCATGTGAGAAAGTTCCTGATGCTCCACATGCTCCCAAATTTGGCTGTAAAGTTGTTGCCAACGTGATACGGTAGGAGATGATGTCTCATTGGGCTTTAAATCTTACTTCCTTGATTACTAGCGAAGTTCAGCATCTTTAGTTTATTTGCAATTTGGCTTCCTCTTCTGATCACATTCTAATTTCTCTTGAATGTATTTAATTCTCCTTTAATTATGTATCAAGCTGGCTTGATGGACGCTGTGAGGGCAGAGACCAAACTTACCTTGCTCAGTATTGTAGCCCTGACACCAAGCCCTGGGGGCCTGGCACATTAGGAAGGACTTGGGATAACACAGGTGAATGTGGAAAGTGGCGACCAAAGATAAGCCCACTATTTCATTGTTTTGCCTGAGACCAGCCCAGGCAATTGGCCAGTGAAGGGGACCTTCAATTAGTTCACTAGTTTCCTGCTGCGTTTGTTAGGATATTAACGTGTACTTCCAGTTCTTTGACAGTGTTATTCTCAAATAGAAGCATATCCAAAATACCTAAACTGAGCTCACCCCAACACCCCAGCTAACCTAACGGTATTGATTTCTCCTGTTAAAAGAGACAACACTTAATGCCGATGTGCTCCATGGCATTATGTATAAATAACTCCTGAAGTGAGATGAATAACTGAACAGATGCCATAAGTGGGCTCTATTTGGACAAGGCATCAGGATTCTGGATTTGTCAGAGTTGTCTCTGGTGAAGATCAATTCACATTCAATAATTACAACATCTTTTGATTGATTTCTAGGGCCAGGCATTGCTCCAAATTCCTCACATGGATCATCTCATTTAATCCTTACCACAACCTATGAGAAAAATACCTTGTTTATCACTGTTGGTTTGGGGATGAGGAAATTGAGGCACAGAAGTGATTAGGAAACTTAACTAATCACACAATTAATCACAGAGTAATTAGTCTGATAAGTGCCATAAGGAGAACTATAAGATGGTGCAAGAGTGGGAATCTAAGGGCTCAGGGCTGGCATCTCCAAGGAAGTGACATTTAGGTAGACTCCTGAGGATGAAGCAGGAGTCAGCCAGAAGAGCCTGAGAAGAGTGTCTCCAAAGACCAGGTGCTACAGGAGAGGAGCACCTGGGTGGCTCAGTGGGTTAAGTGTCCGACTCTTGACTTTGGGTCACATCATGATCACAGGTTTGTGAGATGGAGCCCTACGTCACAGGCTCTGTGCTGGCTGCGAAGTCTGATTGAGATTCTCTCTCCCTCTCCCTTTGCCCCTCCCCCTGGTCCTCTCAAATGAATAAATAAATAAAATCTTTAAAAACAAAAACCAAAGACCCAGGAGGGAAGAAGCATGGTTGCCAGAGTGGCTAGAGCCTAGTAGGCCAGAGGGAAAATAACTTGAACAAAGCTGGAGAACTGGGCAGAAGCCAGAGGCCAGACCAGGCAGGGCCGTACAGGCTGTGGCAAGGTATTGGATCTTATTCCAAGAAAACAGGAATCCATGGAATCTGGAGCCTTGAGCAGGGAAGTACTGGAGTTGGACTTATGTTTTAAGAAGATCGGTCTGGCTGCTGGTGGCCAGTGGCTTGACAGAGGCTGGACTGGAAGCCAACATTGGCTGGGGGGGGCGCCAGAGCCAGAACAGGCTGGAGGTAGAAGGCATGGATTCAGGTAAACACACCGTTGAGCAGGAAAATCAGGCAATCAGTATCTTGGTACTAGCTCAATGATCACTTTTCTGAGGGCAGTGGGGAAGTCGCAAAGCCTCTCTAGGTGCCCAATTCCTCTCAGTTTCTTCAGAAGAGAAACATCCTTTCCTTCCTCCCACGGAGGTTTCGGGATGCCTTAAGATCCAGGCCCTGAAGCAGTTTGTGCTGTGCAAACACAAGTTGTCATTAGCTGGCCCACATCCTGTCTTGCTGAGTGGTAATGATTTCTAGACGCTCAGTGAGGTCCCCAGAGAGAGAGAAACTCTTTCTTCCTGCGTGTGTGTGTGTGTGTGTGTGTGTGTGTGTGTGTGTGTGTGTGTGTGTAAGAATTGATTGAATGAGCCAGGCCTGCCCCTTGTTTGGGGTCAATCACAAGGTCTATTAGGACGCAAATGAGCCCCTTTCAGCTTTAATTCTCTCCAGCTTTATCTCTGCTGCCAATGCTGTCGTGCCAATGATTTGCCACATAATATTAAACTCTAAAGTGACATTAAAATTGGACTCTAAAATGCCTGTTGCCTGGCTCTGATATTGGTACTTCTTTTTTTTTTTTAAGGGAGGGGGAAGGGGAGAGGGAGAGAGTCTTAAGCAGGCTGCATACCCAGCACTGAGTCTGACATGGGGCTCCATCTTATAACCCTGAGATCATGACCTGAGCCGAAATCAAGTCAGATGCTTCACTAACTGAGCCCAGGTGGCTCTTCTCCCATGTTGTTTGTCAAGACAACAAAGAGAATTGGGTGATTATCTTTTATATGTGTGCATCCTTCCCCTGTTCCTCCCTAAGGACCTGACATTGCCTTGCATACACTACGTGTTATTTGAGAGTGTCTTCATGTGGCAGTAGAAAGCTTGGGACTGGGTTTGAATTCCAATATCACCGGTTCTAGGGTGGATAAAAAAGGACAAGTCACTTAACCTATCTGAGCCTCCAGTTCCTCACTTTCATAACGGGAACAATAATACCAATTTCACAGGGTTCTTGAGAGGACTGTAGAAAGTAACACATGAAAAGCATCCAGAATAGCGCCTGACACATAAAAGTCACATCATTTAATTCCGGTCCCTGGAATGAAATATCCAAATATATGATAAGGATAGCTTACCAGTTCCCAAAGAATCTGGGGCTGAGCCTTTCAAGTACTGAAAAGATTGCCTTCTGAGCTGGAAAATTTTCTGGTCCCTGGGGTCTCGGGGGGTTTGCACTGCCACTGACCAAAGCTCTGGTCCTAGTCTGTCCACTGTGCCCCTTCCCCAAACCTATAAACTCCATTTGGGCTGACCAGTTTTAGAAGTTAGCATCAAAGCCAGGAAGACACCAAATGCTTTGCACACTGTGTGGCAATCAAGTTGAAGAAGTTGATTGCTGACCCAAAATCCCATGGTGGAAATCCAATTAGGTTTTAAGTGGACTGGGCCATTTAACCCTTAACCACGTTATTCACCCCCCCCCCATTTTTCACCTCTCACAAATGCCTGTTGGTCACTGGTAAGTTTGGATCAGTAAGAGTGGGCTGAGACAGGCGTCCAGCAGTCCTGTGGGCAGTTGCTCCAGCCTCTCCTTGGCTGCTTGGCTCCCTTGTTTCCATCCTCCCCAGCCCAGTGTGGTGGGAGTGGGGGTGGGGGGCACACTCACGCAGTGCAGTTCTCCATGGACTCAGTGGTGCTGTCCTCAATCTCCATGTTAGTTGAGAGGCTGGCAAAGCCATGGGGCAGCTCATCCCACTCGTCAAACCGGATGCCTGTGCCGAGGGAGTAGCGGCCCTCAGCACAAGGCTTACAGGACTGGTCCTTCATGTCCAGAAACTCCCCAGCTCTGCAGGAGAAGGCTGGAACACAGAGCAGGGATAGGACAGGGTGGTGAGGCTGCTGCCACCCCAGGAGAAGTGGGTGGCTCATGGGCACCCTACAAGGGGAAGCAGAGAATCGAGATCTAGGAGTTTGCTCCCCAAAGATTTAGAACCACAGCACATCTTGTATGATTCTGTTTTCTATGGAAATGTCCAAAATAGGCAAATCTGCAGAGAGAGAAAGCAGATTTGTGGTGCCATGGACTTGGGGGAGGGAGCATGGGTAGAGATTGCACATGGACATGATGTTTCCTTTGGGGGTGATAAAAACATTTTAAGTTAGATAGTGGTGGTACGACTGTGGTCATTCAAGAAACCACTGGACTTTACACTTTCAGAGGGTGAATTTTATGACAAATTATGTGTCAATACAGCTATTATTTAAAAAAAAATGAGTTAGGGCTGTGGCAGCCCTGCCTTGCTGAGGGACTTTGGGCTTGCAACTTCCTAAGGGAAAGCGTTGGACATGAGAGAGCTCTCCAGGAGAGAATACCATGATCTCTTGTGCTGACCCCTCTGAATGGTGCCCAGCCCTTCACCCATGAATTCCTCTCTCGAGCTTCTGGCCTCTGACTCCTTTCTGGTTCTGCTGCCACCAAACTGGTTGGGATTCTGGTGCCTATTAGCTCAACCACTGAGGCGGCGTCCTCCTAACTAGTTCTCTGTGTCCTGTTTTGCTCATTCTGTGGTCAAAGGTATCTTTCTAAAACACTGAGATGTACCATTATTCCCGTTATTCAAAAAATCTTCAGGCACTCTTCCTTTGGCTATAGAATTAAGCTCTCGGCCAAGTATTCAAAGTCTTCCCTCAACCTAACTTTCTTTTCTTTTTTTTTTTTAAAAGATTTTATTTATTTATTCATGAGAAACACAGAGAGAGGCAGAGACACAGGCAGAGGGAGAGTCAAGCTCCCTGTGGGCAGCCCGATGGGTGACTCAGTCCCAGGAGCCTGGGATCACAACCTGAGCCAAAGGCAGATGCTCCACTGCCTTTGAGCCAGCTTGAACCACTGCCTTTGAACCTTTGAACCACTGAGCCACCCAGGTGTCCCTCAACCTAACTTTCCAGCTTGATCTCCCACTACAGGCTTTTCTCCTCTACAGCCCGGTCCATCATCTCCCCGTGTTACATCTGCCCCAGACTACATGTTCTTCTGGAATGTGTCTGGTGTTCTCCCACCTGCAGACTTCTGCCCGAGTGGCTCCCCCAGTTATTCCTGATCCCTAAGCATCCATAACTCCCATTCTTCTTCATCTCATAGTAACACATCATGATGTGTGCCTTCCACCAGGCTCTGAGCTCTCCTCCAGGGACAGTGGCTCAGACATAGCTGAGGCTTCATAAAGTTTTGATGAAAAGGAAAAAAAAAAGAATGGATGAAAGAACAAATGTCTGCTTCTTCCACCAGACTTTAAGAGTCTGAAGGCAGGGATCCCTGGGTGGCGCAGCGGTTTGGCACCTGCCCTTGGCCCAGGGCGCGATCCTGGAGACCCGGGATCGAATCCCACGTCGGGCCTCCGGTGCATGGAGCCTGCTTCTCCCTCTGCCTGTGTCTCTGCCTCTCTCTCTCTGTGACTATCATAAATAAATAAAAAATTTAAAAAAAAAGAGTCTGAAGGCAGAGAACGTGTCTTCTCTCTCTTTGTGGTTCATTGCACGAGCACAGAGGAGGAGCTCTGCTGAGTCCTGAGTTACCCGAAGGTGGCTCATTTGTTAGCATAGTCACACCTCCATCCTGCTCAGATCTTAGCAATATCCGCTCATTATTTTAGCAGGCATTTATTTGCTCACAGAATAAACCAGGCACTCTGCAAGCTTCTTTTCTTTTTTAAGAACTTAAGTGTCCCCATGGGACACCTGGGTGGCTCGGTGGTTGAGCATCTCCCTTGGACCCAGGTCGTGATCCTGGGGTCCTGGGATTGAGTCCCACATTGGGCTCCCTCTGCCTGTGTCTCTGCCTCTCTCTGTGTCTCTCATGAATAAGTAAATACAATCTTTAAAAAAAAAAAAAGAATTTACATGTCCCCAATCTCCTTTCCAAATATTCAAATATTCCTTGATTCTACTCCCTGTTGTTATCCCTCCGCATTTCTAGAAAGGGCGAAGGAGGGATGCCTGGGTGGCTCAGGGCGTGACCCTAGGGTCCTGGGAGTCCTGCATCAGGCTCCCCGCAGGGAGCCTGCTTCTCTCTCTACCTATTTCTCTGCCTCTCTCTCTGTCTCTCATGAATGAATGAATGAATAAATAAAATCTTTTCAAAAATTATAGAAAGGACAGTGGAAGGGGTAATAGCTGCCAGCTGTAGAAAAGTTGAGATTACAGAGTCACAGAGGTGGAGATGGAGCCACAGACAAGGCACCACCTTTCTGATTTGTGCGGCCAGCTCCACAGGCAGGGCAGATTCTTGTCCCTGAAATGATTGATGACCAGTGCATTTTAAAGATCTGTCTCTGCAGAAATTCATCTTCTCTGGTTTCCTTTTCAAGAACAAGAGCAAATCACAGTCTTTCCTAATGACTGATTGTGGCTGCTGAGTGTAGATTGGAGAGATCTACAAGAGCCAATGGATGCAAACAGAAAAAAAAAAAGAAAAGATCTGAGTGGCAGGCAGCTGGAGTTTCTCATACTTTATTCCTTGCTGGGATTTAAATTCAAAGAAAAATGACAATAAACGCAACTTTAGATATCCTGTTTGCATCCATGAAATAACATTTCTTGCACCAAATCTCAAAGAGGTGGAGGGCTAACTGAGGGAAAGGTCTGATTCCTTAAAGTCAGCCGCACAGTCAGGGAGGGCCTAGCTTGGATGGCAGGAGGCTTGGGGCAGAGGCGAAGGGCGAGCAGCAAGATTGCTTACAGCACTCAGTGCCCTTGACAGGGTCGGGGAGGCTGGTGCACAGGCCCGGGGTGTGTGGTACAGCGACCCTCCACCTGGATCCCGTGCTGTCACACGCCGTGTATTCGTAGTGGTACTCAGACTGCAGGAGAGACAACAGTGGGCAAAAGGTGCATTAGCGGTGACCAGACATTAACCGCTTTCTACCCACTTCCTGCCCCACAGGATGGCTACTGACATTTATGAAGGTGGTAGCACATCCACCCCTCATCCCTGACCCCTGCACCCCCCACACCTCCTCAGCCCCCCATCCTCTTCTACCCCTTTAAAACCCCTGCACCCCCTCCAACCACCCCCATCCCTACCCCACACCCAGCCTCTAGGGCAAAGAGCAAGGATCGTGGTGCCCAAACACTTTTTCAGAAGCCTACAGGAGCCACAATGATTTGGTTCCTTCCTCTCCATCCAGCCATGGTCTAGTCCTTAGAAATCCCTTTTGTGCAGTGACTCTCTTTGCTGTTGTATATAGGTAGTGACCTGACAGACAGAGTAATGTGAGAAGGTAACTACAGAATAGGCTAGAAATAGGTGCAGTTTTTCTTGTTTCAGACAGTAGAATTACGAGCAAAGTCTGGTCCATGAAAAGCCTGCGAAGGATCGTCACTGAGGCTGTATTGCCCTGTTCTTCAGACTCCCATCTGCCCAGAAAGACTCTGAATTCCCCCATCTTGCATTTTACGAAAACATCATTATTTTTGCTCAGGCAGCTCTCATCACCTGAATCTGTTCACGCCTAATTTCTCCGTGCACTGTGAAATTCACAGTTCAGTCGCTTTACTGAACTAAGAATAACCTAAATAACAGCCAAAACAGCCAAATCCAGCATTAAATAGGAAAATAGTAACAACAAAAATAATAAAAAGCACTATGTGGGAGGAAAAAAGACCACCATAGATGCATCCCATACACTTAAACACTCTTCCTCTTTTAAGTCTTGTAACAATTGACAGGCCACAGGACTAATGTAATTTTGGCTCTGACAAGTACTTTACAAACCTTTACCTATTCCTATATTTAAGTGCCAAAGTACTTGGTACTATTACATCCATAAGAAAAATAGATTTAATGTCCCCTTTCAACCCACCTAAAAGTATAATTGGATACCATGTGTAATGCCAGGAGTGAAGACTAAAAACGAGACAGTTTTGAAGTTTGCTTTGAAGTTTGCTTATCTAAGAGTGCATCAGAACCAAAAGGAGAAAGCTTTACCTTTTGGAAGAGGTAAACACACTGCACTTCATCTGTTCTAAGATGCATGTTTCTTTCACATTTTAACATCTGTGAAATCACAATCGACACAGTAAGAAAGCCCTGTGTCATATTTTAACTGATAAAAACAGATAATTTTTTCTCTCTTTGCAGTACACAAAAAATGGTTGGTCTTAGAAGCAAGGGTATCTCAGATTTTTGGAAATATGGTGAACATGTCGTTTCTCGAGCTGTAGTTTCAGAAACTTAAGATGCTAAGAGAACAATTTTATTTCCCTCTATTATTAATATTTGCCAGATATATGTTTTATGCCCAGCTATTAGAGTTACTAAGTGTTGTGTCCAATATGGCTCAAGATGGCAGCAACACAAACTCAGCATTTACATCCAGAGAGATAAGAGGCAGATTAAGGGGAAAATTGCAGTAACTGTGAGCCTAAATCTTCTGAGAATCTTTGGCTTTGGACTTAGATATCAGGACATCAGGCTGGCAATTCTTTGTTTACTCGGGCTACTATCTCCCTGGGTCTATTTCCCCCCATAATTCCAGTCTTTTCCTTATCTCAGAGACCCTGAGATGAACAGAGCAACTACATAGATAGCAATTCCAGGTCTAAAAACTATACTCTCCAAAGGGTTTTATTGCAAGAATGAGGGTTAAAATCCACAGTGTGTAAATTAAATGCAGAATTAAGTGAACCAGGCAGAAAGGATTTGATGATCTGCCTGTGTACATAATTATGCTGGTCGTCTGCATGGTGATTTTACAGTCCCCAACACAGTCTCATTTGATCTTCAAATTCCCCATAAGGCAAGCAGACTTGTTGTCCAGATGAGAAAATACGCTCAATGGCGTGAAATGGCCTGTCCAAGCTCACACAGCTGCTAAGTCACTGAGCTAGAACCCTGGCCTTCCCACCAGAAATCCGCCACCCTCGCACATACAATCAAACACAAGCTCACCCTGGGCCAAATTTCACAGCCAAATCTAAAAATTAAATAAGACAGTGTTGGTTGTCTGCCAGCAGCTAGGCTCACCTCGGAGGCCTGAGAATTGGTGTTAAAATACCTAATCTGTTCGGGCAGATAATTTCAGTTTACTGGGACTGCATTTGGCTTTTTGGAGACACACGGGCCAAGTCCATTTCCTTTTGCTGCCTTTCATTTGGTGTCCCCTGAGTCCCACTTGGGTGGGAGGTTTGCTGGGGAAATGGTTGATTCCAAGTCTTAGAAAATTTCCCTTTCAATATGTGCTAATTTACTTCACGTCATTTGGGGATATTTCCACCATCCAAGGTGGATGGGTCTGCTGCAGCTGTTTCATATCTGAACTACATTTTGAGATCTCACCATTCAAGACATAAGCTTAGACAGACAGTTAAATCAGAGACATTAACTGGCAGCACTTCTTGACTATAGTCAGCATTCTACTAACAAATCAAGTTTACCCAGTGATCTGTCTTTGAAACCGTATAGTCTGCATAACATACAGATTGACAAAGGAGACACACAAACATATTTGGTAGGTATGTCCAGCACATAATTCCTTGCTCCCCACTGCACAGTGATAGGACACATATCCAAATCACAATTTTATTTTTATTATTTCTATTTTTTTAAGATTTCTTTTTATTTGAGTGGGGGCAGCGAGGGGCAGAAGGAGAATGAGAATCTCCAGCAGACTCCCCACTGAGCACAGAGCCAGCCATAGAGCTTGATTCCCACAACCCTGAAATCATGACCTGAGTTGAAATCAACAGTCGGATGCTTAACTGACTAAACCAGCCAGGCATCCTCCCAGATACAATTTTAAGTGGGGCATAGGAGGCAGTGGCTGCTGGCTGTCATCAGGAAAAGAAGGGTAGGGTTTGGAAATGAGGGTGGGCACCTTAGTCAATCTGCCTTCTCCTAAGTCATCCAGCCATATGTCATACTCCTGGGGAACATGAGAAAGAAGAAAAAATCCCAAAGTTGGAATTTCCTTGGTCAAATACCAAGCTATCTATTTGGCAAACGAAAATTATGCCAGGTGAATTAAGCCAGTCACAAAAGGACAAACACTGTATGATTCCACTTGGATGAGGCACCCACACTGGTTCAGATTCATAGAGAAAAAGTAGAATAGTGGTTGCTGGAGGTTGGGCCCCTGAGTAGAGTTTTGGTTTTGCAAGATGAAAAGAGTTTTGTCAATGGTGGTAGTGAGGACTCCACATGTGAATGGACTTAATGCCTGACCTATACACTTAAAAATGGTCAAGATAATTTTATATTAAAGATTTTTATTTGGGGTCCCTGGGTGGCTCAGTCAGTTCAGCATCTGCCTTTGGCTCAGGTCACGATCCCAGGGTTCTGCGGTAGAGCCTGGCCTCAGACTCCCTGCTCAGCAGAGTCTGCTTCTCCCTCTCCCTCTGCTGCTCCACCTGCTTGTGCTCTCTCTGTGTGTCAAATAAATATATAAAATCTTTATAAAAAGAAAAGAAAGATTTTATTTGTTTGAGAGAGAGAGAGAGAGCATGAGGGAGAGGGAGAGACAATCTGAAGCTGACTCCATGCTGAGCACAGAGCCCCAAACAGGACTCGATCCCACAATCCTGAGATCATGACCTAAGCTGAATCCAAGAGTCAGATGCTTAACCAACGGAGCCACCCAGGCACCCCAAAAATGGTCAAAATAATTTTATGCTATGTGTATTTCACTACAATTTTTAAAAATAAAAAAAAAAAGATTATGCTACAGGAACATGCCCAATCTCTGACTTATCCTTATCTCTATACCAGACAGTAGAAGCCTATTATCTGGTAGTGTGCATTCAAGAAATATCCTCAAAAGAAAATAATCTGTGTGTGTGTGTGTGTGTGTGTGTGTGTGTGTGTACCAAATTAAAAAGGCACAAGAGGGAGGAATGGATGAACACCTGGGAGGTTCAGTCAGTTAAGCATCTGCTTTCAGCTAAGGTCATGATCCCAGGGTGCTGGGATTGAGTCCCAAGTCGGGCTCTCTGTTCAGCAGGGAGCCTGCTTCTCCCTCTCCCTCTCCCCCTCCCCACTGCTCATGCTCGCTCTCTCTCTCTCTCTCAAATAAATAAATAAAATCTTCACACACACACACACAAAGAGGGAGCAGTGGAGGAAGGAGTAGAAGACAACAGAGTGGACATCATGATAGTCTCACTAGATATGCCCATGGCAGTTCCCTGGTGCCTCTGTGTTTGCTACTGACAACTGTTTGAAAGAATTATGTTGCAGTTGTGCAAAAATAGACATTAGGTGCCAAAAAATATTGTTTTTCAAACGTTCTGCTCTTTTTAAATTAAAATGTTGAAACTCTGGAAATACTGTTAACTTGGAACATGTCGGGTCTTCCATGTTCTAGGAAAATGGTGTCCACTCAATTCCACATCCAACAAGTAGTTCTTGAGAGTCTTTTCTGTGCTAGGTCCTGGTGAAGCAGTGGTGTCTGCGATGCAGTCACAGCTCTCAAGGAGTGTAGATGCCTATGTGGTGGGAAGTGCCCTGGCAGGGATGGGGCAGGGAGGAAGGTAGATCATGAATACGTATATAGGTAGGCTAACTTCTGGTCTTCCACTATTCTCTGTAATTAATTATCATTGCACATTCTTGCTTGCCCTCACTTTCCCCAGAAAGAGTTTTGATATCTGTTATGGACTGCATGTTTGTGTCCCCTCCAAATTCACATGCTGAAGCCCTGATATGACAGTATTTGGAGGTGAGGCCTTTGGGAGATAGTTGGACATGAGGCTGGAGCCCCCATGAAGGGATTAGTGTCCTTATAAGAAGAGGATCAGAGCCTCTTATAAGAGAGGATACAGTGAGGTTATCTGAAAACCAGGTAGATTGCTCTCACCTGACGCT